GTGTTAGGCTCCATGAATGGGACGGACCGACTGGCTAGCTGGATGGGCGAGGCATGGGAGAGGCAATAGTGTCAAGGGGAGTTCTGCCTTAGACGCTATGGTCTGGCCGAGTTGGGCATGTGGGACTTGACTATGAAGGAGACAGAGGCGGATCGAAAGGCACAACTGGTCGGGAGGTATTGCCGCTCCCCTGATGAGCCCAAGGCAGGGCGAAACCAATCCGGTTCCGTAAGAGAGCAAGGCTGGTCCGCGGGGTGAGGGACCCCGGGACGCCGCACGGGCGCTGTGGGCTGCGCCAGACTCTATGCCCGTGACAGGAAGATAGAAACATTATCTTATCGTTTTAATTTGGTCCGCAGGTTAGTAGTACCGTAGGTCCCTTTTTGTCTTTCAAAAAAATGGTCCCTTTTTTGTCTACTCACAACTCTCAAGTTTTATTTTTATCATTCTTTCTATATATATTAGAATACTACGTATTGCTTTAGTTTATTTATTTATACCCAATAACTTTTATTTTATATATATATATATATATATATATATATATATATATATATATATGGTGTATATATATAATAATATAATATTATGTCAAAAATTCCTAATTTGGTATTACCTTCACCACACTAATATTGAGACAAGAGAATGTGACACTTAAGAAAAATGAGTTTATGTGGTTGATACAGAACTGATAAAGTAAGAATAATTTAGAGTCACTCAAATTTTATCAAATTTGGTATTAAACAATCTTAGTGCAATTTTTCGAAAAGGAAAAATGAGACAATCTAAGCGGGACGAAGAGAGTACTTTTTGTCTCATGTAGAATAAATATAATAATAGCAATAATAAGAGCAATTAATATGATATTTCTAACTTTTGTAACTAATTACACATTAAATAAGAACATTAATATGACTCTATTATGCTCATTCTAAAACAATGTAAGGGTCCTAATATGGATGAAAAGAGTTTTTTCTTCCATCGAAATTTCTCTCCCATTAATAGTGATAATGTGAAAGGAAAAAGGTGTAGATAAACTTTGGTAAGAAATCTTTTCTCTCAATCGTTATATTAAAATAGGAAGAATTTTTTGCAACATCCCAAAGAGGTAAGTGAAAAGAAATTTATGGGACAGAGATAGTATATTATCTCTGCTACGGTGGACTTTGCCAACTTCAAAATATGTGGGAAATAAGAAAAGTAAAAGTTCTGATATTGAGGTCTGTCCACAGGAGAGAAAAACAAGTTGAACCACAAATTCATTCTTTAAAAGGAAAGTTACTAAGTTTTTGAGACAAACGAAAACGAAAAGCTGGCAAAGTTGAGTGAGGCGAAGGAAATATAAATTAGGAGAAGATTCCCAACAAAGGAGCAAGCATGTTTTGAAATTTCAAAATATGATGTTATTCTTTCCGAAATATGAGTATTTACTATCATCTTTGATTCATTACTGTCAAAATAGTTACAAAATTAAGCATTGACACGTCATTACTTACTGCCATTAATGACAGTATTTTTCAATCATGACAATAACAACACCTATTTCGGAAAGAAAGACATGCAAAATAGTCATATTTTGAAATTCCAAAACATATTTACTTCTAAGCAATTTCCCTATAATTTAGTCATCAATTTACAATTATAGTATTAATTATCAATAATAATATTTCTTATTATCTTTATATTTATAAAAGAACAAGATGAAACCCAAAATAGTAATGAGATTTTATCTTAAATAAACAATAAAGTATAACAATAATTCTATATGACAATGATTTAACTAGATAGTACAGTATGTGTCTCATGAAACTTTTGTCGTTGTACTTTCTTTATAGGTACTGTATCAGTATTTTAAAGTTTGTTACACTGTTTTTTAAAATGTATTTAAAAGTTTGATACACTTTCCTTTTTAGTAAGTTTTCAATTAAAAGTACTGAATTACCTCACTTTTTATATTTTTATCTTCTTTTTCATAAGTTAACACGCTTTCTCTTACTTTTTCTACACTTCATAACCCCTACTACTTTCCTCCTTAAATGATGTCTCAAAGTAATATGTAGTCATCTTTAAAATACGTAGAGAGTATTGATTCCTGCCAACCGCGAATCACTGCATCTTCTAGCGAATTATATGTTAGCATTTAACAGAACTTATACTAAATATGCAAGACATACAACAACAAAAGTTTCATGAGACCCACTTATAATTATTGTACTATCAAGTTATTTCATTGTCAATTAGAGTTATTGGTTATACTTTATCGTTTATTTTAATTTTACTTAAATTTTTTTACGATCCAACTTTTTACTTTATTACAACTACTACTACGTATACAATTAATAAAAGTGACAACACATAAACTTTACCGTATTTTAATTTGATAAAATTACACATTATGTACCATCAAAAAACATAATTTTAATTAAGTCATTATTCAATTCTAGATATATCCCGTGCATCGCACGAGTACTTTGTCTCGTAATATATAAAATATTATATAAAGTAACAATAGAAAAAAATCTCAAAAGGAGTAAAATATAGTAAATTTAATTCCTCAAATAGGACTCATGCACTGATGCTCTAATACCATATTAAGACTTGAGGTTCCATCCTAAAAGGTCAACCTTTTAGGAGGAGTAGCCCAAGACTTTTATATGTTGGTTTGTATTTCTATACGCAACCGGTGTGGGACGGCTTAATATTGTTTACTTAGGGAGTGTTTGGAACTAATTCTGCTTTTGCTTCTTTTTTTAAAGTAGAAGCATATTCAGAATCAGCTTTTAGAAGCTGGTACCTCCCAGCTTCTAAAAAAACTTATTCTGGGAGTAAATTAGAGCACCAGAAGTGCTTCTGGAATTTCACCCAAACACTCCACCTCCTGCGTCTCCTCTCTAGAGGAGCACAATCAGTTTTGAGAATCAGATCCAAACACCCCCTTAGTTTTTATTGTTTTATTCTTTTAATATGACTAAATAAGTACTCCGTGATATTCTAGAGCCAAATATTTTGCGGTTTGCCAATATCACTTTTTTCATCCAACTTAGGTGTCACAGGTTCGAGTCTCATATCAATTATGGGGTTGACATTATTCTCCAATTAATACTATAATAGATACTACGTAACAATTTAACAAGAAAAAGTGCTATTTAGGAAAGGAAAAATATTTGATCCTATTTTATGACTTTTTTCTATATTTGACTCCTATTTTAATTTGAACCATTTCTTTTAACAATATATGTACGTGGGATTAGCTGTTTCTTCGTCTTAGTTTTGTTACTGGTTTTTATTCCTCCTATTTGAATGAATAAACCAAAACAGTAAATTAGAAGTCCATAACCACATACGTAAGATTATAAACATTTTCTTGGACTAAGCTACAATCACTAATGTTATATTTGCGCATTTAATTTCTTCATTCCCCAAAAAGTTGCATATGTCATATGTGGATGTCCTATTAGACACTTCATCGCTAAAATGAATGAATAACCTTTCGAGATTCGTCCTTTCCTTCAATCCCATTTTAGAGAGTCGGGTCCTTCTAATTTCATTTGGTATCACTTAATTAGGGCTGCACAAGAATAATTCTGAACTCGCACAACCCGTCCGACCCAACCCTACCCAATCACTTTTAATGGGGTATTTGATTTTTAAAAATACTCACGGGTTAAATATGTATGAACCTGCACCTACTGGGTAGGATTGCGGAATTAAAATCTCAAACCCGATAGTACCCGACCCGGCCGAAAGTTCAATTTATTATTATTATGCTACAAAGTTTAGTTGGGTAATTTATATTTAAGATCTATGTGCTCTATTTAAGACTGATTTTAGCATTGTAAAGTAGTAAACATTTATCATTTTGACTAGGTGATTAGTGTGTGTGTGTATTACTCTTATAAAAAAGTACTTATATTTGTTTGTGTATTTTGAAAACAAGTTAACTGAGATTCATATTGTATGCATGGTTTACTCTTATAAACTAGTTGTCCATATTAAAGATTCAACCCAAAATAAATTCATTTCATTACCCGACCCTACCCGACCCATTCATGCAGGGTTTACCAACTTATATTTCATATTGCGGGTTGGTAAATAGTCAACCCGAATAAATTGGGTAGGCCCAAAAAATATTGTAAACCCGACCCAACCCGCCCGATGTGCAGCCCTACACTTAATCTTTTGTTCTAACAATGCTGATTATTAATTTATTAGGCTTATTTATCATGATAATAACTAACAATCCTTTTCAAGTGTCTTGTTAAATATTTTGGGAAAAGGGGCAAATAAGCCCTCGAACTAACCAAAAAAGTGCAAATAAGCGATTAAATAGGAAGCTCTGCCCGGCCATCACCATTTGAGGAGGTTTTCGGTGGATTTTTTTGACAAATTTTTTTTAGCATCTTCTTCATTAAGTCTAGTTTAGTCATACCAAATTTCAACTAAAAAATCAACCGGGAAGACAGTCAAATGATTATCTGAAATATACTGCGCAGTTATCTTCAAAAATTCATTTGACTCCCTTCCCGATTGAATTTTTAGTTGAGATTTAGTATGGCTAAACTAGACTAAATGAAGAAAATTCTACCGGGAACCTCTCCGAATGACGACGGCCTGACAGAACCTCCTATATAAGGGCTTATTTGCACTTTTTTTTGTTAGTTCAAGAGCTTATTTACCTCTTTTCTCACTTTTATTAGGAGTGAGAAAAACCAGACTGAAATCAGGGAACTAGCTCTGGCTCAACCACCCGACCCAAATTATGATTCCAGTTCGGATTTTTTCTTTTTAACCGGACCGAATAAAAAACGGACCAAACCCAAATTTCGGGTTCATTAATGGGTCCTAAAATCTATAACCCGGCCCAACATGAACCCACTAATTTCTTCTTCTTTTTAACAAAACCCATCCTCTAATTTCGGTAAACAGTGTTTGAATAGGTCCCAAACGATTAACATGTTTCATTTTGATCAAGAAAAATAAGAAAAACAAATCATATGTACCTTCTTCTTGCTCCACTATCTTGCTTTTTATTTTAGCGTTCCAATTGAAAGCAACCATGCGCTGAGGTTCATCCTGGAAACAAAATTTGTCCAAGCGAAAAGATATATAAACAAACAAAGAAACAAGAGATAAAATTTATACATGAATTGTAGCTTGTTTATCAACGTACCCAAATAAGAAATATTTCTCCCAACATTTTTTATAGGTGCACAAAGACAATGACATGGACGACAAGATAATACTACCACACAGGTGGAAAAATGTTAAATTGCTGCATCATATTAGCCGCAATGTAACTAATTTGTGTGCATCTCTTATAATAATAATAATAATAATAATAATAATAATAATAATAATAATAATAATAATAATAATAATAATAATAATAATAATAATAATAATAATAATAATAATAATAATAATAATAATAATAATAATAATAATAATAATAATAATAATAATAATAAAGCGTTGTCCACATCGTCTATTATCCGTAAATTATTTTTTAAAAATTGCGTGCGACGCTTAATACATTTATGAGTCGCATGATTTATATTTTTAATTAACAAATTATTTTTTATTTGGTCTTGCATAGCTTTATTTTTAAGACTTATATTTAATCTCATGCACATGAGGCGATAACCAATATTTATATATAAATTATTTTCATATTATAAATGAAGTGTAAAATAAACATTAAACACATGTAAATCACGAAAGATTAGGTATCAAATACTTTCATTAATAAATTTTTAATCACAATACTAATAAATAATCACATAAATAATATAGCAATTGTAATACCTGCCCGCTGCTTCCTGCGGCCTTACTCTTCGACATTTTCAGAGGTTGTTGATCTCGGCTACTGATACAAAACAAAGAAACTTCTTTTTCTTACTAATTTTAAAAATCATTAAATAACTCATGATTATCTTTTGACAATCAAATTAAAGAAATTATTGTTATCAATCATGATATCCATGAAAATATCGGTATCATTAAACGTAAAATAACAACAATAATTATATCGACATTTTACATCACATTAGGTTAATTATCGCAAATTGATGTATTTATTTCCGCAAATTTATCTATTTATTCATTCATCTGATATTGATTTGCAAATATAATACTCCTCTCCCGAAAAGGTTCATCAAACTGACTTTTCTTGGTCAATAGTAATCAACTTTGACTAACGTTATTTTTTAATAGAAATATTTTTAGATTATGAAAAGGGGTAATTCCGTGAATAGGAGTAGAACATTGCAAATATGCACAAATAGGAGTAGAAGTAGAACATTCCGTGTATAGGAGTTAAAATGACCTGGACTGACCAAATTGCCCTTAATGAAAGAATCAGGCTATATCTACAATACTCTATATATAAACAAAAAATTACTCCGTATTAAATAAATACTCCGTAATCCACTTTCTCATCCTCACTATGGTCACCACCAGCTAGTGACTAACTACCGTCATCTCCTCTACCGTCCGCCTCAGCCGGCCCGCCTCCGCCGCACTCAGGCGGCGCCTCCATGGAGCTGCCGCCACTGCCACTTCCAGAGAGCTGCCGCCACTACCTCTAGGCCGCCTCCGCCTCCAAGGAGTCACTGCCAGCCGGCTAGACCATATCAGCCCTTCACTAAGATCTCCTGCGAGGCTGCCGCCGCCCGTACTCCGGTGAGATCTGTGAGACAGCCGCCAGCCGAACTTCAATGAATATCACCTGCCACCGACGATGTTACTCCGGCGAGTATCATCTGCCGCTGCCGAGCTATGGCAAACCGCCACAGCCACCTTCTCCTTTAGATGCCATTATTAGTCTTATTAAAATAATACTCCGTAATAAATTAATAATGCCATTTTCATATGGCATTGACAGATCTAAAAACATGGCATTGAGAAATCTAAAAACATGGCTTTTCTAGATTAAAAGATGGCATGTTCGTATACTCTGTATGATACAATGGCACTTTACATTTAACTGATGGAAACTCACAGAGGAATGGCACTATACGAGAAAAATGATATTTGCCAACATGAAATTTTTGTTTGTTTGGAAAACACGGCACTATAATTATAGCACTTTTGATTCATTGCCATCTTGATAAAGGAAACACTATGAACACAAGTTTTTTTAAATTCCATTTTTGTATTTAAAAATGCTTAGAAATAAGTAATGTTCTTTTTTAAAATAAATTAGTAGGAAAAAAAATAAAAAATAAAAAACAGATCTAAAATTTCTAGTCTAAATCGTTATCGTTAGTCTTACATTTTGCAATCCAAAATTTGGAGATCTAGAATACCATTTTTTAGTTAGAATCTCAAATGGAATTGAAACAAAAGAAATTAATGGAAAATAACAAAAAATTCAAGAGAAGAGGAAAAACGGAGCAGAAGGCGGAGGGGGGAGAAGAAAGAGGAGAGGAAGAGGGGGAGAAGAAGAGGAGAGGAGGAAGAGGATGAGAAGAAGAAAGAGGAGAGAAGAAGGAGGAGAGGAGAAGAAGAAGATACCGAATATGAACGTTCTCGTCGGAAAAGAAGGACGCCGCCTCTTTTCCGGAGTAGCGGTGCAGCAGCGACGGCCGATGCTTGGGAAGGCGTCTGGAGAGGAGGTGGGAATGATGCGCAGAGAGATGAGCCGATGAGTTGCTGGGTTTTCAAAATAATTAGGGATTAAATGTCGATCTGAAAATATGCATTTCAGGCAGGGTCGGAGCAGAAGCAACAAAAAATTCACAGAAAAAACTAAAATGGAATTTCGAAGAAGAATATAATACAAAGATCATGAATGCAAATGAAACTACCGGACCTGATATCGGCCGGCCCAGCCATCCACTAAGAGAGAATCATCTCCACCAACATAGGACTTTTTCTTTCCGGTGAAAGATACAAACAACAAAAACTAAAACCATAATTATCCAGAACAAAGTGCCGGAGGTCGAGAGGTGACCTTAACGATCTACTCCATGAACATCGAACATCTACTTCAAGGAGAATGATAAAGCAAAAAAAAAAACAGAGAAATGGAGAATCGAAGTAGTGCGTACCAACAAAAAACCTACAGAGATTCAGACGAAACCGGACGGAGTAATGAGCTGCCTCTAATGCCGCTGGCCAAAAAGAAAAATTAACGGCGCTCCATTTTTCGCATTCCGGTTGATTGAGGAATGAATGAAGTGAGGACAAGAGATAGTACCGAGTACAAAAGTGGTGCCGGTGGAGAAATGAGGGAGAAAAGGTGGTGCGCAGGTGGCAGGGATGTGGGACCAAAGGGAAATATAAAAAAAAATTAATCTAAATGTCATATATTCTTTATTTTTATTCTAATTTTAAAATATATATATATATATATATATATCAAAATTCATAAAAAAAAAACTTATCTTTCATATGAAATCAATATTGTATATATAAAATTTAAAAAAAAGTGAAGTTTCAATTGTTATTTGAAATGTTTTTAGGTCCAAACTTTTTCGTGAATAAATCAAACGTTCAAATTATATCTCACGGTTATTCAAACGTTCAAATTGTTATTTGATTTTTTCCTCAAATTATATCTCACGGTTCAAATAAATCAAACGTTCAAATGTTTTTGAGAAATTAGCTTGAACTAACAAAAAAAGTTCCAAATTTACTTTTTTACATCGAGATATTTGACTCATTAAATCATAATAAAATATTAACAGTGCTGGATAGTAAGAAAAGACTGAATTGACTGAGTGAATACATATAAACTAATAGGAAATTAGATTTATTTCTTATTTATTTACTACATATTCCTTAACCTGGTAGACAAACTACCTAAGTCGGTGGGGTGAAAGTCAGGAAACATTTACCGAAATTTAATAAAATAAAAGAAAAAATAGAAACGAAAAGTAAATAAAACATGTACGCGAAAACCGGTTGATTTGGCTGATTCTGCTGAAATTTATGAAGTTCTGGCTAAAATGGCTGCATTAGCTGATTCTGCTGATTTAAGAAAAATTTATTTTTTAAATATATTTTATTAATAAAGAAAGAAATAATTATATGTAAAAATAGCTAAAATGGTCATATACAGTAACTTCAGTCAATACAGCAAGAAAAGTAACTGCAACCTTACTTTTTCTGCTTATTGCACAATTCAGCACAAAAATGTTACATGTTTGGTGAAAAAGTTGGCTGATAAGCCGAAAAACAGTGTTGTCAAACAGACTCTTAATAATCTTTAATCGAGCTCCCTCTATTTAAGTTTATCCGGAATCAGTTTCACCTTAAAAAGATAATCATCCACTTTCCGCCGCTTAAATCTAGTGAATCTAAGACCATCGCTAGGAAATTAGATTTATTAACAGATAGAGTTGCCCATTAATTTACTAATGGGCAAGTTTACTAAATTGCCCATTAATTGATCTTTTAATCCAAACCCAACCATTATACGGAGTACCTAGTAACGGGAGTATCTAATTTTGTCCAATTATACTATGCACGATGTGGGTGGGTGGGGGGTACATTATCCCGGATGTCAAAATTTGGCCTCTTTGAATATTTGGGAGGAATTTTGTCCTAATGATTTCTCATGTGCTTGCACTTGGCGATTCGTCTAGTTTTTTAGTAGTAATAATATGAAAATTTTTACTCTATCTCATCAAAATAAGTGGGTTTTCGGTCCCATCTTTTTTAAATCAATTGGTATATAAGATGTCGTCACCTACATGTATTATCATTTTAGGTTTTTAGTATACTATTTTTCAATATATTCTGTATTTGTTATTTAATCTCATATAATCATATTAGGGATAAATAGGAAAATAAGAAAACATTAACTCTATTTTTAAAACAAACGTATAACTCACTTTGTTTACATATGTGAATAATCTTTATTTACTTTGTGTTAGCTTTTGGAATGTTAAACTTAAATTACTATTTCGATCTAAAAGTTTGGATATGCACGGCCAGTGATCGAAATGTTTTGAATTTCAATTTCTTAATTATGTTTTTACTATTACATCTTTAAAAAAATTTCAGCTGTTTGCATCTTTGAGATTTATTTTTCATCTTTGAAATACTTGTAACACGTTATGTTAACAACCCTCATTATAAAAAGTTTAAATTCACACACACAAGACTGTGGGGAGAAACCAAAGGTGATAGTTTCCATACAAACTAGTTTAATTAGAATAGATGGAGTTTAATTTCAACTACAAGAGCTAATTTACGTAAACAATATGTTTTGGCAGTGTGAGGCAGTTTATTGATCGAAAAAACAGATCCCTTTTAGGAGGGGTTTGGTAGGACGTAAAATAAATACTTTGCATGCGAAGTGTAAAGACGTAAAATGTTTACACTGTTTGGTTTGAATATTTAATGTAAACTGCGGGGAACTTTTTTAAAACATTTTGCATCGTACCATGTAAAATATTTTACGTGGAGGGTGGGGTGGTAAATTACTTTGCACGCCTTGTTGGAAAAAATGTGTTAAAATTGCATCAAATAGTCATTTTGGGGCAATTTTTTTAGTGGGGTCCACTTCTGATTTGGGTCGGGTCAAAGTGGTTTCGGATTGTTCTTGATTAGGGATACAATTCGATATATGGTACGCTCAAAACGGATAACGGGTGAATGAGAAATTGATTCTCGAAATTCACTCGTTGGAATGGAGAAAACCAGGAAAATGATGGGTTTCTAGTGTCGTTTTTTCACACACCGGGAAACTTAAGGGAATTTGAACCCTTTATAAAGGGAAACCCCCTTAAGGAGTTACGATTCCTTAGGGTAAAGGCTCTCTCCACGCGCGCAGGGAGGGTGCGAATCAAATCCCGAAACCGGAGAACAAAAAGCGAAACTTGCGTGTGCGGACGAGCTGCGGACACGAATGCCGTTTGAAAAATTATCTTCTAAAGATAACGTTAATTTTTGTTCTTCCGGTAGGTTCCTATTTTATTTTTGCTCATGTTCAACCGGAACGTTGCAGCATAAATGTCCAACGTCTTTGTACCTAAATGCAGCGGGTTTGGATAACTTGCATGGAGAATCAATGCCAGCATGCTGCCTTGAAGTCCCAACGTTCATATGAATGTTTTGGACTGTTTTTTGCAGGAATCAATGCCCAACGTTCACAACATTGATTCCAATGTTCATATGCCTTAAACAGGCCATTAACACATGCAGATTCACCCCTATAAAAGGCTGGCAGCTGCTTTGCAAAAGGACACAACACAAAAACGTACTGCACTTCATTCTAACTAAAAAAACACTCCAGCCTTCTCTGAGAAAAATCCTTCTGTTTTCTAAGCTTAACTATCGTTCGAAGTCATCGTATCCTGGAAAACGATCGTTACAACTCTCCTAGCACCCCGGGAGGCAAAGAATACGTTTTAAAGAAATTGTGCGTAGCACGAGCTTTGGCTTTTCTGCTTCATCTATTTTCTGTTTTCGTTTTGTCATTTTACTTAATTAATTTTTATTAATTAATTTTCTTAGTTTTTCGAAACACACCCAACAATCTTAAAACGTATTCGGTGATTGTTCTACTACGGTAAACAATCTTAAACTTGTAGTTTGTCACATTGGTGAACGAACTTGGTTTTTTTGTGTTTTCGAAAAACGTAAGAAAAAAAAAACGGAAAATGACTTCTCAAGAAAACAAAAATGTTGTTGGGCAGAATGCTTTGAACGATAATCACTCTGGAAGCGCAGATCCGGTGATCAATAGTTCACAACGCGTAGTATCTGCTTTGGCCAACCAAAGGGCTATCCCTATGGTGACCGTGCCAAGCAACTTGGTGGAGAAACCCAAAAAATTTCATGGGTTAAACTTCAAGAGGTGGCAGCAAAAAATGTTATTTTATCTCACAAGTCCTCGGATTGTAAGGCACCAAGGAAGAAGAAAGACTCTCAAGTCAACATGGTGCAAAGTGGGCAAAAGGATGAAGACATCATTCTTGCGGCCGTGGTGACCGAGGTCAATCTCAATGGATCCAATTCCAAGGAGTGATTCGTGGCACACCGGTGCAACCCGGCATATTTGCTCTAACCGAGAGCTATTCACAACCTTTGAGCCATCAAACGGTGAGAAGGTGCGGATGGGGAATTCTGCTCATTCTGAGGTTGAAGGCGTGGGCAAGGTGGTCCTGAAGATGACTTCCGGCAAGGAGTTGGGTCTCAACCAAGTGTTTTTCATCCCGGAAATACGCAAAAACCTAATCTCGGGCTCGTTGTTGAACAAGCATGGCTTCCGCATGGTCTTTGAGTCGGACAAACTAGTTTTGTCTAAATCAGGAATGTATGTGGGCAAGGGGTATGCAGTTGATGGGCTGTTCAAGCTCAATGTAATGACCATTATTATTATTATTATTATTATTATTATTATTATTATTATTATTATTATTATTATTATTATTATTATTATTGTTATTATTATTAAAATCTCTTCTGCTTACTTGCTTGAGTCTTCCAATGTGTGGCATGGTAGACTAGGACATGTTAATTTTAATTCTATACGTAGATTAATTAACATGGAACATATTCCTAAATTCACAATTGATGTGAGTCACAAATGTGAAGTTTGTGTCGAGGCAAAACTAGCGAAAACGTCTTTCAAAACGGTTGAAAGAAAAACGGAACCACTGGAATTAATTCAAAGTGGCGTTGGTGATTTTAAATCCATACCAACACGTGGCGGTAATAAAGATTTTATTACTTTTATCAATGATAGCACTCGCTATAACTATGTTTATTTATTTAAAAATAAACACGAAGCAATCGATAAATTCATTCTTTATAAGAATGAAGTGGAAAATCAACTTAATCGACGTATTAAAATGGTTAGGAGTGATCGAGGTGGTGAGTATGAACCACCAGTTGGTGACTTTTGTGCTAGTGTGGATATAGTACATGAACGTACCGCACCCTAACCTCGATCAAATGGTGTTGCCGAACGAAAGAATCGCACATTGAAAGATATGATGAATGCGATGCTAGTAAGTTTGGGCTTGCCACAAAATATGTGGGGCGAAGCAATCTTAACAACCAATTATCTTTTAAATAAGGTTCCCCGTAAAAAATATGATAAAATTATGTACGAGTTGTGAAAAGGTAGATGACCTTCCTATCAATATTTGAAAGTGTGGGGGTGTCTTGCTAAGGTGCTTGTACCAACACCTAAGAGAATAAAGATAGGTCCAAAAATGGTGGATTGTATTTTTATT